CTTCTCTTTTTCGACTAACTGCAGCTAGCCGCATCCAGGAAACTCACACAAAAACATGCATTTGTACGTGTAAAGGTGAACAGCTGAATGGTACGTGGGGTTAAAAATCGATGAAGCCCGAATGTATCTACAAGCAGTCTAATAAACGCGGTTTGTCAACTTCGGAGATGCCTGCAGATCGACCACACATCCAAAGTACCTTGTGTTTCACTCACCTTCCACTAACCGGATTTAGAACCCCGGCACGGCTTAGTATACGTATCACAGATATCTAGAAACATGAGTCAATAGTACTACCGTCAACCAACTACGACCATCGCGGTAACATAATAAAACAGCAGTTTGAGCAAGATTATTGCGAATAATGTTCACACAAGGGATCTACCTTGGGTATTACAACGTTGAGTCTATTCTTGACAACCAGATGAACAGAAACACATAAAGTTGTGGAAAACAACTGATTATCCAACTGGTTATCATTTGCTAGGCTGTTAAAACTGACTCAGGTTTTTGCATGCTTAAATTAAAAACGTCGATCTTTGCGTCCACCCGGGTGATAAGTCAGCTCACATCTCTCAAGTACTGTTCAGTTGATCTCAGTGAACCAGTACTCTTACTTCGCCTAAACCGGAGAGTGTAAGTCAACCGGATACGACTCAGGGTATTGTTGTGAGCATGAATCTACGGGTCGTTGAGACTGACTTTTCAACTGTATATTCTACAGGCTACTCGAAACGAGTAAGTAGTATTGTGGACCGTGTTTAAAATTCCAGCAGCAGCTGTACGGTTCGTATGACCATGTATATTTCCCCATTCAGTTACCGGTACCCACCGGCTACAGTGGTCTACCCGTTCTTCCTCCAAGCACTCGATTTTATCGTTTCTACATTGGAATTTGACTGGAGCAGGCGCAACTAGGACATAACTGACCCGCGTGAAAGCATCAGAATGCCTTCAAATGGACTATTTGTTCTCACTAAGGTTAGATGAGGACAATTAATGGAGTCCATCACAATATGAATGCATTTTTACTGGTTGCGTTAAGAGACCGAGCATACAAAATGGCCGTGGCAAGTAGCTATGTTTTGTAGTTCGCTTCGAATCTCTCACAATCACGAAGGAATGCCAGTCATGAGTGTATAACTGCATGGGCGTCGTTGGCCTGTGCAACACAAATCGTAGTTGGTAGCTGATCGGGTGGCAGTTGGCCTGTTCATCGAGCTTGGTCATTAAATTGCAGACGTTTCGTTACCATTTGAGCAGACATCATGAGTGAGCGGTTGAGTGTGCAGCTGTTGGACAGCGTGCTGCTCATATATTACCATTACCATAAGGCATAGTGCTTGTTGTGGAAAAGATTGAGAAAACACAAGTACCGAGGGCGTAGAATATGCTCACTCATTATTGTGTATCTGAAAATATGTGTTAAAACCATATCTACCTGAAGTGTTGCCTTAATGTCAGTAGTATAGCCCACCTCTATGTCAATCATCACAGATCATGAAGCAGTGGAAGGGTCCTCGATGTCGGCTGGTGTCTGTCAGTTATTTTATTTATTTGTTTTATTTTTATTTTTATTCGTTGTATCGACTATTCGTCTAACTATTTATGACCATATGTGATTATGTTAGCTACACAGGAACCGTATTTTTTTGATCAGATTCAAATGATGCATGCTACGTTACGGGGTGGAGATTAAAACCCACAAGGACCTAAGGATTCAAGCTTACTCATGCAGGTTCATTAGTAGTAAAGAAACACACCAATACTTTTGATAGCTTAAGGTTTCGATCACCGCGGCTGACTTTCATGAGTAGTAGATTACTTGAAATCACAAAGAACAACAATCAGCCTTGTGCTTTCCTTCAGCAGTCAACATAAGCAGACGTCACACAATGTTCACAGCCTACTCTATCTCATTCGCACAGTAAGGATATTTCATTCTCTGTTCGAGCAGTTTTTTGTTCTCATTTAAATCACAGACACTACTTTGAGGGTGAGGGTGTTGATTCAAAGGAACGCTGAATCCTCGGAAGTCAGTAGTCGTAGTGGCTATTGGCGAATGGTCAGCCAACTGGCGGCCATGCTTTTCGAAAGATGACGGAACACTGGAAAATGCATAGCTAAGCACGGAGAGTAAGCCAAACACTGGTGAATTGTTTTAGCGCCACAAATACTCCGTAGCGCTAGCAAGTTTCGCTTTGTCCGGAGGTCACGTTGATGAACAACCGAATACTCAGTGCCTTATAAGCATACCAGTTAACTCCAGGTCAGTATCTAGCAGAGAAATTCCTTGACTAGTTAAGAAACAGCCAGTGCGCTGATTTAAGCCTGAGTACAGTCGATCAGTCGGTGGCAAGGAACAAACAAAGAAAATAAAAAATATTCACGCTAATGACCGTGGCAAGTCCACGCAGAGACCAGTACGAGCATCGCACTAACCAGATGGAGCAACCGTATCCGATAACATTTGAAAGCATGTATTTAATATGAAATGACTATCGCTCGAAAATCGATAACCACTTATCAGCACCAAGTAGGCGGCAAATACGAAAAGCAAAGCTGTTGTATCGTTAAAGTAATTGGCGGTTCCATTAACTTTAATCGAACGATTCTTCACGAACAAATCACATCTATCCACTTGAATGATTCTATCGTCTGAACCAATGGAACTCGAGGTCTCTTGTGACATTATAACTCTAGTGTCAAAAATTATGTATCAAGCAGCAATTCGGCCACAGTGATGTCCATCTTTTCGAGTAAGCAGCTGAGGTTCTTAGACATCATTGATAGAACTTGCAAACTTTCTAAGGAAAGTTACCATCCATCAAGCCCCACCCAACCCCGCAGTGTACTTTTTCAGTTACGTGTTTAAGGACACATTTGTGCGTGGTTTCCGACGCTGTGACCTGTTTCGAAAACCAAGCAATCGCTCCTATTGCCGAGGTCTTAAGAATACTCAAATTTATCGTTTAAATAAGGGAAACCTTGCATCCATTTGTGCAATTGATTAGAGCGATTGCACCAAGAAGTCATAGTGATCGATAATCTTCAAGCGTGTACGTGTACGCCCACACGGTGTAGTTTTGTGCTAAGCAGTAAAACGTGCAATAGATCCCTCAGAATCCATCCGGTATCTGATCAGGATTGTGACGTCATATTTGGTATGATGACCAAGGGGTGACCGGAAACTTCCTGGGACGAAGCATATAAAGATCAACAGATTCGCAAGTTCCCCGAAAGCCTATGCTGAATCGAAAACTCACATATACACTCTGTGATAATTACAATCTACCGTCGACCACCAAGGTGAACATCCGGTCACATCTGTTGTGGATAAACACTTGTGATCATGTAGTTGCAACAAACAATTATGCCCTCACGAACTGCTTGTTGCGCATGTGTTGTTCCAAACGATCCGTGTGAACCGAATTTCTTGTGGGAATTTCTACATGAGCTGTAAATATTTACTGGCTTCGCGGTCACGTGACCAAGATAAAAATGAACAACAATAAACAATGAAATCGCAGCTGATGGAATTGTTGAATACTTGGGTTAGAGGTGGTCATAAAGTTAAAGACCGGATTCTCTGGATCACGACCGACTAAAACCTAAAATTCGGATCTTCGGAAAGAATTAACCAAGCTATCTCATTGATAAAACAAGAATATTGCACAACATCGCTTAATTTCCGCCTCGGCTCATCAGCAACACAGCAGTGCGTTCCGTTATGGTTCTCAGTACCACAATGGACCTTCCTGTATGAAGACCAAGAAGTACAACCAGTATTTGCGGCTGTTAAACCGCGAGTGGGCTCGGGAAATCCGGCTGTCAGTCGGGAATTGTACTTGCACTCAGTATTTAGTGGTTTCATCTCTATTAGGAGAACCAGCTCCGAACATAGTTGGGCTACACAACGGCCAGCGGAATAACCGTTCTCGATAAGGCTGATTTAATGGGTTGCTCTTCACTTGCCCTTGATAAATGAGCTTTCTTTTCACTATTAATTTTTGTCCCGTCCTAGATTCGGACGGTGTTCAGACTGCCCGATTTCCAAATAACTACCAATAGTTTCATTAAAGATTTGAACTCCATTTGAGCTCAGTTAGATGGCACGGGAATATACGTGGGGGAGAATCGTGAGCATTATACGGAACTGACCATCTTACTCTACCATATCTGATTCACCCATCTGTCTGAAAAACGGGGTCTACGGAAGTCACTTTTGATTGGACAATCCGAAATACACATGAGAATACATTGGTCTTGTGCACAGGGTTGCCAAAAGTCCTATCTATTCACCCGTCTTTTGAGGAAATACGTCACTGGAAATGGTTCCATCTAGAAAAGATAACTGGTATGTTTATCTACCAGCGCTCATCAGTTGGTAACCATTTGTGAATGGCGATACGTCTCCGTGGTACAAAAAGAGTGGTCAGATTGTCCATGAACCTACCGAGGATAATCCAAAAATTAGCTGAATACTCAATGAGTTTTTCTCATACAGATAGACAGACTTCGGGCCGATCCGAACAGTTTTCATCACACTGCCAGTGAAACCTTGTCAGAACCAGAAGCTGAACCAACCTCAGTAGATCACGTGACAGGACAAAGATAGCGAAACTAAAATTTCTTGACCTTCGAATTGACAGTTGAAGTCAGTGAGCGTATAAACCTCGAAGTTGGTTAAATTTCTCTGTATCTCAAGGTATAAAACGAACGCGTTTCTCCAGACATGAAACACGTGGAAACAAGCGAGTGAAACTACTTGAAATAGATTTGAATTTCGGGGTACATGTGACAGAATAAAACTGTGCCGATAACGGCTGATAGCGAGCTGACAAATATGAGAGCCTGTAGTCAACAGCTATTTTTTGAGGCTTCATTTTTAAACCATAAAAAACAACGTAATAAGTTCTACAGGTTGTTCTTGATCCACCCATGATTACCAGACTGAAAAATCATGAAACTCCAGACACACGGTCCATGCTTGAACTTACTTCGACAAAGATTTCACTGTCCTACTGATTTCTAATGACTTGGGCACACGAGAACTGCTAGTTTCCTCAAAGAACTCTGACTGTCTATCCGAAGCAGGGAAAGTCTCGTTAGTAAAGTATACATTCCATAGATTTCACATACTATAAATGGCGGCAACTTACTTTTCCGACCTAGTGGACTTCGCTTATTTCGGAGAGTGACTGACTCGTATTGATTATTACCAAATGAGCTCAGATAGTTTCTCAGACTACACAACATCATGTAAGGTGTGCCTACCGGATCATTTGCGACTATCAGGATTGTGATGATTGAAGAGAATTCCAGAATATGGAATTTCTCTAAAACGACTTCTCTTATCGTGTCCTGCTGTGTTTGGTTGCACGAGCACCCTCTTTCCAGCTGTGATTTTCGTGACACGTGACTGTGTGCAATGACCAATCATATTCACTGAAATAGATGCCGAAGTAATTTCTATCCTATTAACCATAGAGATAAAAAACGATCATGATATAGACATTTCTAATTGCATACATCGTATTAGGAGCAGCTGAACAAGCGTTTAAAAACGCAGGACAATTTGTCCTTTTGTGCACCTGAGTAACGACGTTGGACATTAGACTTGTTCTATGTCACAAAATATACGCAAAGTTGAGAAAAATCTATCCGCGGAGTCGTTTGCTCCTTAAAATTGGTTCAAAATCGAAAAAGTTCGGCGTTGGAACAAAGGGACTTTGCCAAATATAAAGTGACAGTTGTTGGACTGATTAAACCTGTCCAAGACAATCTTTCCACCTTGTAGTAAGCTTTTTTTCAGCCTCCTGTATACAAACTTTGCCTGAAATGAAGGTGGATATGTCAAGGTAGTTTAGTTCGTACGAGTCACCTGTAGACACTGTGCTTGGCTAAGAGGATATGCACCTTGGTAGGATGGTAGGTAGGACCTATACAATCCAGGCTGTAAGCTGGCAGTTGAGCAAACTGTGGCTCACCAGCGCATGACGAAGGTTATGCGGCCTGACATATAGATCAACTTCAACTGTCGCTGCTGTTCAGCGTATACGGATAAGTGAAGTGTTGCCTGGCCCCTCAACTCTACAGACGCACGGCTGCATTGAATAATTCAAGGGCAGAATTCCACTGCTAACCTCATCATACCTCATGGTAAGTAAGCGATCAAATGAACCAGTTTAACGTAGTCCTACCTATCCGGTAAGGTTCGTATTGTATCACAGCAAGACTCCCTCGATTAAGGCATTGCTTTCCACATCGAAAAGCTTTTTCTTCCCACGGTACATAAGGGGGGCGTCGGTACCTTTGATAGGACAAGAAAAAGGCTATCGAAAATGAAGATCTGTACATAGCGAGAACCAACATATTCCCCGCAGATGTTCACTCTAATCCATCATCTAAATTTCCGACGAATTTATCTGTGGAAAATTAAATAGAGAGTGTTAAGGTTGAATTTCCAGAACCGCTTCCTAAGCATGTTCCGTCCACCCAATCCAATCAAATTAGGTGGGAATCAACCTTTTTTGGTCACAGGTTGGCATTTCCTCTGCCTTCAAGACCGTCACAAGATGTAAAACAAGTTCTCTCATCAACCGATTTACTTCAGACATTCGACATCGAGACTCTGAGACAGACGTTGTGTCTAACTTGGAACACGCACCTCCGTTTTCATATCTGGGTTGAGTTCGCATCCTTTGGGACGGCCATCTATTTATTACATTAGTTTAATGAAAATTTCGTCCTGTAATTGAAGCTAATCTATGCTGGAAAGCAGAGTAATACTGGTTTCCCCTCCCCCCTATTTGGAATCACCATCCCTTTACTGGGGAGTTTCGAATCTGCGATTCTCCGGCTAGCATTTGGAACCCTTAACTCTTCGGCTACGAGCGACTGGTCAGCGTTCTCGCGCTTGGGCAAGATAGAGTGCCAATCAAATTTCAAACATGAGTAACAAGTCAGATGGTCACAACTAACGAACCGAGCGACGATGGTTGTTTAGAGTGATCGTAGTAACGAATTTCATAAACGTCGTGTTATTCGCTGGTTACTATTCAGATTCATACTGTACAGTTAATGGTAGATGCCTTTTTCTACTGGACAATACGTAAAAAATTTAATAATGCTTCTGATTCTCTTCTTCAATGCATGTATTATGTTGGATGCGAGTCAAAAATTGAACTGCAAGATTAATGGCGTTGACGTTTGATTAGTTCGTCTACGAATGAAGCGTTTGCGAGAAACGTCTGTGGGGCTGCCTGACTGAGAGTTCCTGAGAGATGGGTCAATCAATCGACATAACCAAGGTGTGACACTTAATCGTCGTTCGAGCCATCGGGCTTTCAGCTCACATCACTCAAACGCTAAGGTGTTCCCTTTTTGAGACGTATAAATTCACATGTAACCTACGTGCGCTGGTGGAGTAGTGGTAAAAAAACTAGCCTAGCACGTCAGATGTGCGGAGTTTGAACCCCAGCACGGCCAAGTGTTGATGAACACTAATTAGAGCAAAACTCGAATCCATTGCCTATCTGTTTGGTGTGGATTCATCAGAATTATTGTACCAGGACTGGAGGACGAGTGTTCAAACGGAAATACGTCCCACAAAATCCCATAACTGCCAACGAGGTAAGCCATTTGGCTTAGCTTGAACTTTCCATGTGCAAATTCAGTCCGATCCCCATCCTGGTTCGGGCGTTCTTCCCAATAAGTGTATAGACATATAACGAAGATACGGTCACCTCAAATAGTGTTGGTACCAACTCGAACGCGCACTGACAATGTCTCCTCGACTGGTGATGACCTGACAAACACGGTAAACAGATCAACAGCCACTGGATTAACATTCAATGAGCAGATCCAAGCCACCAAAGTTTTACACAATACTGCCGGTGAGATTAACCGTTTGGTTTCCCAAACTGAGAAGAGAGCTCATTAAAACCTCTTGTAGAACCGTCGGGTTGAGTGTCCTGATCGTACACACCCCTACTGTCGCTAAAACGGCCATATTCTACGTGTAACAACCCCTGAGTTTTCTGCTTTTCTCATCAGCGAAATTTAGATTTTTCTTCTGTTTATCTATCACATCGATTGGCTGAAGAGAACTGATGCACAATCATTTTCGCCTTTTATTTCTTAGAGGTCACCTGCTGTCCATCGACCCACAGGCTGACATTTTTAAATGGATCGATAGATCCCAAGGGCGTCAACTGTCAGTCACTGTTTATATCATTCACTGCACTGTTACTACTCCAAATATTTTGTGGTCTTACGATGCACATTAGCCTGATCTGGCCATTCACACACGTCCTACGTGCATTTTGAATCAAGTCCGCTATGTGTTGTCCCCAAACTAAATGAATGCACCGTTCGCAGGACAACTGGATAACCAGAAAAGTCAGGTAGCTTGTCCACTGGCACAGATTGCAATGCGTATAAACACTTTGCGTTGTCGAGCATTCTTGTGGGAGCACTTATTGTTTACCATTAGTGGTGAAATCTTTAGGAGATTCAAGCAAATTCCTACAGCTTTGCTGGGCTGCCGTTCAGTTTTACCGTGCGTGGACTTGTCGGATGGTACTGTCTAGACTCGCCTGCG